AATGTTCAAAGTTTGGTGAAGGAAGGGCCGATATGATTAAAATGTTGCATACTACTCTAATGTTGATTTCGATTATTGTCATGATTTCTATAAAATTTGTTACTTCACTTGTTTGTAGTCTTATTGAATGGCTTGTGTTTAGCCTTGGAAGAAAATGGTGGAATGAAGTGAAATGGGTACTTCAAAGTTTGACAAGTATGGGCATGCATTGCCAAGGATATGAACATAAAGAAGGCCTCATGGGAGAGACATATGCAAGGGATCTCAGTGAAATGAGATCAAGCACCGGTGGTGCTTGTAGGTGTGTCGATTCACCTGGAGCATGTGGGAAGGCAAGAAGGCCTCAAGAACTCAAGGATGAAAGTATTGAAGAAGGTGGAGTTTGCATAAGAAGAACAAGAATGAAGGAAGATGAGCAAGGCATGCTCATGGCGGTTATTGGGCTAGAGAGCTTGGCTAAGTTCTCTAGGTTTTTCAAAGAGGGAATAACCGGATATGATTTGGCAAGGCAAAGGTATGATTTTGCATCAAGGTGGAGATTGTTGGGACATGATGCAAATATCACCCCTATAGTATTTTTCTCTGTTAAAGCGCATTTTTGTCCTAGAAAATGGGCGCTTTATGGAGATCTATAAAAGACAATTTTTAAAGAGAGAAAACATAAAGAAAGAAGAGAAAAGAAAGGTGTCGAGAAGCTTTAGGAGGTAGAGATTGGGGGCTTCTTGTGTAAACCCTAGCACCATTATGACTCTTGTACTAGGCCAAATTTGATCGAGGTTTCCTTGTGGCGATGGTGTTAGTCGATGGAGACAAAGAAAGATTCAATTGATGGTAGGATTATGGTAGGAAATTTTCATTGAGCTTTCTTTCCATGTATGAGGTAATCTCTACAAAACCCTAAGCTTGTAAATTTTTTCCTTCAACAGTGAATGCATCATTGCCCTCTTGCCCATGGACATAGGTCATTTTGGGTGAACCACGTTAATCCGTGTCTTCAACTTTTTGCATGTGTTGTGGTTATGATGATTTCCCATATGTAATCGTGGTTTCCTTGCAGCGACGGTGTCAGTCGATGGAGACAAAGCAATGATTCGATTGATGGCGGGATTATGGTAGGAAATTTCTATGGAGCTTTCTTTCCATGTATGAGGTAGTCTCTACAAAACCCTAAGCTTGTAAATTTTTTCCTACGATAGTGAATGCATCATTTCCCACTTACCCATGGACGTAGGCCATTTGGGTGAACCACGTTAATCCGTGTGTCTTCAACTTTTTGCTTGTATTGTGGTTATGATGATTTCTCATATTACTTTTTTTTTATTCTATAATTTTTTCAAATATATTGCACACACATTATTGTTCTTGAGTTATTTTATTTGGGTTGTTGGATTCATTGTTGTGGGGAGTTCATCACATCAAGTAGGGATTTGTGTTGTCCCAATTTCCCAACAAGGGGTAATCGAGATAGCCTCGGTTGCCAACAATCAGTAGCTTAATTCTTTGCGTTAGAAAGGTGTCTAAGAATCAGCAAGATGGACCAAGAAGAATTATCCATGTACTTGTCCCCAATATGATATTACCAACTCTGAGAACATATAAAAAAAATTAACAATATTTTTATTTCAACTGTTAGTGATGTATTAAAAATAGGGCCTAGGCCACGAAATGTGACCCGAGGGCCAGTCAGCCAGGCCCTAAAAACTAGGGCTTGGGCCATGAAATGTGACCCGAGAGCCGGGCCAGGGTCGAGCAACCATGGCTTAAGAGTAGGGGCAGGCCAGGCCCGGCCCCACCTCTTTGTATTTGTTTTTTCTTTTGGTCTTTTTACATAATTATTAGGTCCAGACCAGATATGGCTAGGGCCCGGCTTCGGTGAGGGCCTTTATGGCCAGCTCAGGGCGGGGCCCTAGGGCCAAGGGCGGCCAGGCCCAGGCCGATAACTATCTTTCACAGGATATGAAAGAACATATACTAAAAATATGGACCTCCATAAATTGTTCATAGTCAATAAATGCATTTTATAGCCCACCCAGGATGCCTTTTTTATGGTGCTAACCTCCATGAGTTGTTCATAGCTACTAGATCTGAAAGGTTGACCCTAGGTTCAAGCTTTTCAATCTTGCACCCTATCACCAAACTCATCACTTCTAGACTTACGGCTACCAAGCTAACAAAAGGACACTGCTACCAAAATGGATCCACATTAGACGTAGCCTCAAAGCATCTTCGAAGTTAAGAATGCTGTTAAGTATTCGGCTTGACTAAACAGCAGGCAGGTGATTTCAACCACACCATGACTAGTCCAAATACCTTTCATGCGTGTCCTAGGACAGTCCCTTCCCAGTAAGGGATGGAATTGGCCTCAGAAACAATGGAAAATGGAAAGGGGAAGATGGTGTCTCCTTAATTGCATCTCCAAAAGAAACCCTTCAAGGAGATATTCACAAAGATTGAGTATAGGCTCCTCTCATCCACCTCAAACATAAATCATGAATTAAGTCCCTCAGGCACTCAAAGCCACTTCAAGAAGAGAGAACATGATATGGATTGAAGTCTTGGGGAAAGGACTTTATTAATTTACTTACTATCACAAACAAGCCTCCCACTAGGTCTAAAATCCATGTGTATTTTTTTTCCTTCGACTCTGAGCATGCAATGAAGCATTTTGCACGAGGCTAAGCCCCATCTCCGCCCCATCCCCAATACCCAAAACAAAAGACAACAAAAGAAAAAGAAAAACCTTTAAAAAACTCCAGCAATACTCCTTCATGATCTCCTACAAGTGTTGGATGAAGGAAAATGACTAATCATCAGCAGCTCGAGTTTTATCTCTTCTAGAAAGAAAACCATATACCAACTTTCTCAACAAATCTTTACACTCCAACCAAGGAATAATTTGTGATTATGTAATCCGGCTTGAGCCACTTGACTTTATATTTTTGGCACTAACTAATTTCATATTTCCTAGCGTCATCTACATAGTTATTTTCTGAATAGGTATTCCTAGCTTTTTGAAATCTTATTTTCGCTCTTTCCTCCTATTTGGAGAGATTACAGAAAGAACTATGTCTCTTCTGTCATCTGGGTTGCCAAACGTGGATTGGTCTCAATCCTTTATCCTAAACTTATTCTCTTATAACTTATTACCCATCCTGAAGCCAGCCAATCTTACACTTTTTTTGACACATGAATCTGGAATTGCTTTACAAATAATTGAATCGTATAGACATAGACATTGTCCAGTAGGAAGGATGAAGGGTGATATCTCTCAGCCAATATATTGATAAGGAAATGAGTGTGTTCTGAGGTAGGTTGAAGTAATGCAACCTGATTAACACCCAAAGAGTAGCCTCCTCAGTCACAAAAACTAGGTAGCATTTTAGCACGCTCATCACTCTCTCAACCTAGCAATTAGTCCAAGTAAGCTGGAACTCCCCTTCAGAGCATTTATGCTTCTGTTCTTCTATTCAAAGAGAACCTAATCGCAATAAATTCCTCTCTAATCACTACAACTTGAGAAATGGACTCATTGCTTTTCTTAAGAACACAAACAAGATTTGTCTTTACAAAGATGATGATGTTAAACCCACCATTAACTACTTAATAATAAAAATACATGATCATTTGCATAGCCTAGTCATTTTGAGCCTATCTCCAGACATTCTACGGATTTCGATTGTGAATGCCATGCACAGCTAATATGACACACATGCAGGCCCCCTTCAATGATGTAAAGCTCTATAGTCACCATCCCTCACATTGTAATATCCACCTTCCTATTAATCTACTATCCCAGACAAAGATGTCATAAACTATCTCTTAGCTAGGACCACCTACCCACCTAATCCAGCCCCGCACCACCTTAGTCACCTCATAATCGACAACTTATCCAATTTAGATTTCTGAATCAAGAAATATCGACCTATATTTCCAACAAATCTTTAACATTTGACTTTTTATAAGAATTTTCAAAGCCTTAACAATTATTGGATCTTCATCTTGACCATAGTCATCACAATCACAACATAAGGACAATTCACAACATAAGGACACTACAGATTAGATACCTAGCAGAGCTCCCTATGGATTTCCTCTCCAAGTTTCTCTGCCAGGTGTACCCTTATTGCTTGACCACTAACTTTGCCATCCACCTTGGTCACTCATATAACTTGTGAATTAGCATCATGATTATTGGTATGCTTGAATGTCTGTATACTAATAGAATTAGACACTTTCCATTACGACCCTCAAAGCTATTATGAAATTTTGGTTTATGACTCCATGCCAGGTCAATGTGATAGGTCTCCTCTAAAACCAGATAGCAATGTGAGCCTATCCCAACTATTCAAGTTTTTGTCTCTCCATGCCATGGGTGCAAGGCATCAGGCTCTTCATCATGTCATTGTGGTACAGACTCAGACTTTTTCTAACTTTGACTTTGTAAAAGTGAGCACCAATTGGATGGTCACTTCATTTTATGCTCAGATGGACCCCCAGGATTAAAATGGTGTGCAGCCATCAGTAATACCAGAGAGCATACCTGATCCAGAACATGCCCTCCAGTGAAGTGCAAATCAAATATGAAACTTCGAAAAGATTTTAAGCAACAAGATTATGAAAGATAATGACTTTAGACCATAATGTGATACTGTGAGATGAAGTAATATCTAACTTTTACAGAAAAGGTTGCAACTAAGAATCAACCTTCTGTTTAGGTATGCATCCATGAAACACTGAAAGCTAGACCCAAGCAATTTCAAACATGATAAAATATCAAAAAAAATATATATAAAAAGAAAGCATCAGGCAATCTGTGAAATGTAATTGCAAGGCATCAAGTTCAAAAGAGCAAGACATGACAATTGCCACCAAATATAAAAAAGAATGCAATTTTATATCTGTAAGCAGCGAAAGATACATTATAATATCTAAAACATAGTTGGTTTTCTCATTCAAAATCCTCCAGTTAGTATTTGGCATAACAACAATAATTTACTTACAAATCCCCATCCGCTCTTGGTAAACTCCTGTCCAACAACTTGAAACTTGCAATTGCTTGACAATAAAAGCTCAATATAGGGACTCTCATCAATTATAGCTACCACCCCTCCATTCCTAGGTCCACGCTCAAGGGCGTCTGCAAACTCTTCAGGAGTGTTCAAAGGTTTTAGTCTCCATGCTGCAATGTTGAGTTCTTCAGTCAAGTAGTCCCTAGCAAAGGACCCTGTTTGATACCCGATAGGGTCATTACTTGAGATCAAGCTATCGATTCCTTCAATACGAGAACTGAGCTGCTGAACTGTTAGAATTGATGTTAAGCTTGCAGTGTAGCTTGAATTGATGATCAGGACAACAAATAGCCATATAATTAACACCATTCTCCCAAGGGTGCTTGATGTGTTTTCTCCTAGAGGGAACACAAAAAATTTGGGGCAATCCAACTAATGTGAGGCAAGGATTAATACCTTGTTAAAGAAAATCCATGTGATGGTTTAGAATTTTTTTTATCATAATAAAATGATAGCATAATGTATGACATATTGAGAGAGAGAGAAAGAGAGAGAGGTGCTAAATGCATAAAATGAGAGAGAGAGAGAGAGAGAGAGAGAGAGAGAGAGAGAGAGAGAGAGAGAGAGAGAGAGAGAGAGTAGTAGTAGTAGTAGTAGTAAGTAGTAACGTAGTAGACGTAGTACGTAGTAACGTAAGTAACGTAACGTAAGTAACGTAACGTAACGTAACGTAAGT